ACTCGAGTTATTGTTCATTGCATTACGGCGAACATCCAAAGCCTGAAAATAATATGACCGTGCTCCTTGTAAATCCCCTTCGTAGTATTTTAGATCTCCAATTTTATTCAGTGAGACAGAAAGTGTATGTGTTATCTGCAAATACATCCCAACATGAAAAACATATAGCATAATGAAAATAATTCCAGGCTGAATTTCAGAAGGGCCTAACCTCTGGGTTATCCTTAGGCACTTTCATAAGGAAATTGACACTTTCTTCAAAGTACGAAATCGCAGAACTAGCGTCGCCAGTAGCTCGGCTAGATAAAGTGTTTCATCAACTAATGGAATTAGACTCACATGATAAGTAGATTCAAACAATGACAATAAGATGCCAAAGGTTAGTTATCTGAGCCGAGGAAAATGAAATGAGGGAAAACAAGTACCAGCAATCGCCAAGCATACCCAAAACGGCACCAAGCTGAGAGCACAAATCGGGAGTATTTCCTGTACTTTCCAATTGTTCTCTGACATCTTCAGCGCAGAAACTAAATCTTGATTTTGCACTTTCTATATTATTTGCACGAAGTGCCTGTACACAAACACGTAATATAAGAAGTTGTTAATAAGCAAACCAATATTTTTGCTTCCTTTTAATAGATGGAATTGTCACATCACAAAGTACAGTATTCAGTGAATTTCACAATTATTCATCACCAATTTACACCCAACAATCCTCTATAAAAAAAAGGATAATAAATCAACTAGTGTCAAGCAATCATCTTACAAATTGCAGTATTCACTTATCCTACATTTACAAACAACAAATAATCATTACTCTACGATAATCTCATATCAATTGTATCTCTAAAATAAAAAACTTTCTAGTAGGAAACCAGAAAGATAGAATGAAATGAAATCTCACCCTCATGGCCTGCTGCATCAAGAAAGCACCTCGTTCGAGGGACACATCTTCATATATTACTGTTTTCTTATCACCTCCCTTTTCCTCCTTTTCACCATCAACTTGAGACCTCTTGATCCTTGCGTGACCTTCAATGAATCGATCAACGACACTCTGGAGATTCAGATCATCTTCAATCTTCTCAATGTCAGCACCACATAAAGGACAATCCTTAAACCTCGATATGCAAACTCTGGTAATGTCACAATACATTAGCACCCAAGAGAATGGAAAAACGAAAATAAAGCAATACAATCCTCACACTAGTCATGAAAATCATCTGTAAACATCACATTAAAAGTCATCTATTTTCTTGAGCACCATTGCTTACTTGCAAAATACATGAGAGCAGGGCACACATTTACTGCATTGAAAGAGAAGTGCTTGGCATATCATGCAGCTGAGGGGGCCTAACTTAAATGTCTGAGAGTCATATCCAAAAGGGCACTTTGGTGAAATCACATTCTCTTGTTGACCCTTGTTATCATTTGCGTGCTGTCTACTTTGGCTCTCGCCAACTCTCTTGCCAGACGCATCATCAGGACGGGATGCTTTGGTGAAAGGACAAACAGGTGTCATCTTTTTTATCTAAACCTGCAGGCTAATAAAAAAAGAATCTTTACGTTCCGAATCATCAGCAGGCCATTAAAGCTAAGCCGGTAAAAACGGCACGATCAAGAGTGCAATACTAATACCTAAGAGAGATTCATGCTGTTAAAAACTAAGCCAGTAAAAATGGCACGGTCAAGAGTGCAATACCTAAGAGATTCACATCTTATTCCAATTTCTTTTCAGTGCACCGACTTCATTATATCGTAAAAAATGTAACAAAAAACGAATAAAATCCAACATGGACATGTGCTCTTGTTTTTTCATACAACGAGCTGAGTATTCTTTGTGCTAATCAGAGTTCTCAGATGAATACAAGCTATGCCCAACACACTACTTCAAATCAAATGAAAGTCACAAAGACATTACTATCAAAAACACCAGCAATCACGATAACGCTCGAGCAGCAAACTAGCAAAAAGCCTCTATCACATAAATGTCATCGAACCCATGAATTTAACCGTCTTGAAGAAACAATCGGAGAGGTCAAGATGGAAAAGAAGATGCGTAGGCAAAACAAATACCAGAATCAAATCACAGAGAACTACACTGGGACGCGAAAAAAAAAAGGGCAGAGATTTAAGATATCGAATAAATAAGATGAATGAATTAATGATAACACTAATCACCATACCTGAGTTCTTCACCTGTTGGATTTTGGTATCTTTCACTTTCTTTCGGATATATATCTGGCTGAGAGTAATTTTTTCAGTTTTTCTGGCCCAAATTTAGAAGTTTTCTCATAGATTTGAAGAGCTTTCTCGTTTTTTTTTTTTTTTTTTTTTTTTTTTTTTTTTTTTTTTTTTTTTTTTTTTTTTTTTTTTTTTTTTTTTTTTTTTTGTTGTGTTTCCCAATAAACATTCATTTATTTTTATTGTTGTTAATATTGTTATTGTTGGTGATATTAAATTATTATAATGGTGAATATTGAAATGATTCTTGGGCTTTTTATAATCTAGGCCAAAATTAAGTTCACTTTCAATTGTGGCTCAGCTTCGGGCTCGGTCTAGCCCATTTCAGAACATGGTCATCCATCCCCCAATAGACCAATACAACTGCACGTAGGGCTGGGCACAGTTCGGATACTCGAGTTTTTTGAAGTATTTGTTAACTGAACCGAACCGAGCAAATATTCGAACTTGCTAACCGAAACCGAATCGAAAATCTCCGTTAACCGAATTTATTTTCGGTTAACCGAAAAAAATCCTACTATTCGCGAATAGCCATACCAACAAGTTAGTTTAATATATATAAATATAATATATAATATATAATATAATATATATTTTATAAATTTTAATATAATATATGGTTCGGTTCGGTTCGGTTAAACGGGGTAAAAAAATCCTAAAAACCGTAACCAAACCGAACCGAGCAAATACTTCCTTTGAGGTACTTGTAACCGAACCGAGTACCCCGGTTAACCGAAAATTTGGTTCGATTTCGATTCGAATCTACGATCCAGCGGTTCGGTTCGAATTT